GGATGGAACCAAGATCTTGTAAAGTAGGTCCCTAATTCGAAGATTAGAACTTTAAACCATACCTAAAAAACCTATCTCAGTTACATCTTGCAAGAATGTTCTTATTAAGGGTGTTGAGAATAATATATCAAGTGTGAGTTGGAGTCCCACATTAGTTATAAATGTGGAGAGTTGAACAATTTATAAGTGGGAGAATCCGTACACTTATCACCTTAAGGTTTTGTGTGAATATGTGATATATCTCTCACTTGTGTTGCTGTTGACCCAATGCTGATACTCCTCCTTACGACCCTTACGACCCAACAAATGGTATCATGAGCTTTTAGTTCGAGTAAAGGGACTGACTTACATGTATCGAAATGCCCAGGAAGTGGTGTTCCGTTGAAATTGAAATGCCCAAGGAAGACACTACAACAAAATTGAGTTTAAATAATGATGAAAAACCGTGGCTAGACATAGAAAAACCGTAGCTGAAACCTTTAGCCCGCGGTTATCTAGACGTGGAATATACGCCCGTTGCTTATTTGTATAAACTACGGTTTTTTGATTTTAGTCCACCATTGTGAAAATCGTTGCCTAAATATGTAAATAGGGGACGATTTTTCTAACTAGTTTTAGACCGCGGTTTTGATTGGCTACAAATATATAACCGTTGTCTACTGATTGTACCACAATTTTTTTATGTCAGTTTTAGGCTACAGCTTTTATTGTAGTCACAGTTTTGAAATCGTTGTCTAACCTTTAACTCAAATTTCCTGTCCCAATTTAGACATTTTTTGTCTAACCTTTAACTCAAGTTTTCTGTCCCAATTTAGACATTTTTTTTAATTTAATAATAATAACAAAATCAAATTTGTCACACGCTTCTCCTAATGTGACAATAAAATTTATCACACTTAGTAATGATATATCATTATAAAACAATAACTAATAATATGAAGTGTAATTTACTTTTTTATAAATATATCATTCTAACATATTAATTAATAATATATATAATAGAATCTCTATTATGTAAATAAAACATTAATATTTTATGTAAGCTAATTGGTCACTGCTAGTACTCAATCTCAACATATAAAAGTTTAAGTACAAAAGACAACTAGAAAGGTATCAGACTTTAATATCATATCAAAATTCTTGAAATTTTATTTCTTCTTTCAAGCTTCGATAGCATCACCAACCTATATCTAATAAACTTTTTTTTTTTTTTTCATTCTAAACATAATCATAGATCAAACCAAAGGACTTGCCTCCTCTAAAATAAATAAGTTATGAAATTGAAGACGAGGCAAGTCCTAGATGACATTGGCCACTTTTTTTTAATTTCAGTCTTGGAGACATTGGCCATCCCTAGATGAAAAACATCAATGAAAAATTGTTTTCTTGAAAGAAGTTTGTTTGTCATGAACTGCCTAGTTCTGATAGTGACAACCTTGTCCGCCATGTTGTTCATCATCGGTTAACAACCTACAGGTAAAAGAAAATGTTTCTTAGAGATTAATTAATAATATGAAAAGTAGTGGAACTATTTTATGTAAAAACACACATTAAACATAAATCTAATTACTATAATTTTTTAGACTAGTCGGTACAATTTTCTTTAGTAATTCCAAATCTTTGTTTATTTTTTGTAATTATAATAAAAATTATATTGATATTGAAAACTATCAAACTTATTTCAATAAATAGAACTAATTTATAAATTATTTATTGCTTTCATTCCATTCCACACATAAATCGGTTTTAGACTTTTTTTATTGGATAATTAGTCATGTATGTTGTAATATTTGGAAATCATTGGTAAGCCACTAGTGTTTGTATGGTTACTGATAGATGCACGGTTCACAATTGATTCAAATGTCATATTAACAACATAATATAGGGAGCAATTCTTCCATGTACCACCCCCATGCTGTAAGTAAGGTTCAAAAATTACCATGTGAGATAATTCAACTAAAATCATAAACTAAATATGATCTAAATCTCTCTACAGTTTGGTTGCAACTGAAAATTAGCATGTGAGATAATAAAAATTTAGCCACCGAGTTATATGCAGGGAGCAAGAAAATTCAAGACAAGACTATTTAAAATGAACTTATTCCTCACCTAGAGAAAATAATGATTGATTTAACATAATATTTCTATAAAGATTATTTTTAATTTTTGTACATGAGCTCTGTTGCCAGTCATTAGTAGTTGGTTTCAAGAGCAGTGCTAGGATCCAACAATAGGCACTCACTACTATAAAAGAAATAAGCCAATTTTAAAAACAATTCTTAAGATTTTCAAAAGATGAAGAAGTAACACTTAACTTTAACCACCATTTCTACCTTATATAAAGTTAAGAGAAAATAAATTCCCAAACTTACTAATAATCATGCAAAACAATCAAAATAAACCTTAATAAGGGTTTAAAAGATTAAGATTCAATAGAAGAAAATTTCAATAATAACTTATGTCATAACTCTAAATAATTAGCTATTCCACATAGATAGAATCAAACCTCATAATCATATCTACAAGATTTCAATTTCTTATCTCTCAAATCCATCCCTTTTATGCATAGAGACAAGTCCTTTCTCCATTGTCGCTCGTGATTTCTAAGAACAAAATTAGGAATGACACAAAACACACATGTCAAAGAACTGGAATACCACAAAACACACATGTCAAAGAACATTTACACCAATTATAAACAATAAGCATATAACCATGAATCACCATTAAAATAGTCAGTAAATCCTAAATCCATTTCTGTAAATCCTAGGCCTTTTGTTTGTCTAGGAAAGAAAAGAAGTACTCCTTACATGAAAATTTGAGAAACCTCAAGAGAATGCAAGACAGAGCAATTACTTCATTCGCCACATGTTGCTTGGAATTTTGTATTCAAATTGAATGACACAATCTACTCCCTCCCCAAGTTGAACAACAAGTTCTTATCTGACACATTGGTGGTGGAAGTTAAGTTATAAAAACAAAATTAAGAGATTGTTAGGGTTAGTTAAAAAGAGGAAATGACAAATGAATACCTTGAACAGTGGTGAATTAAGTGATATCGATTTTTTTTCCTGGTGAAGGTGGAGAGAAGAGATGAGCTTAGTGTGAGGTATCCATTCTATGATGGAGGCGAGAACATGAAAGGGGCTGAAGCCAGAAGATGAAAGGGAAGAAGTAGATGAAGTGTGCACAGAGTAGAAAATGGCTGGAACGATGAAAACGAAAAGGCCGCTCGAGGAAGACGACTGTGGTTAGGATTCTATGAGGAAGTGAGAGCGACAAAGAAATTATATGCATTTATATATTTATTTGTTTTTCTAAATTTATTAAATTATAACATATTCACTTACACATTTATCATTTTTTTTTATAAAAGAATATGAAAAAATGTAAGAACACTTCTTTTCAAATAGACATATTTAATATATTTTGCATACAAATTATAATATATTATAATTAATTTTGAAATATTAATTAATAAATATAGCATCTCAATACTAATAAAAAATAAACACACTATTATACCTAGCGTAACATTTATACAGTTTTTATTTTTAAGAATTATAGTTTATAATTTTACAATATAATAAATAGCTTATAAATATTAATATAAAATTTTAAAAAAATAGTTTGGAACACTAAAAAAATATAAATACATTTATTTAACTTCTTCATTTATCTATAGAGTAGCATATAGTCCATGATATTTGTATACATTACATAAAATATTTTATTTTTAATTTTGTTATCGAATTTTTAAATTTATTTGTAATAAATGTTTTATTTTATTTTTCTAATCAATTTTATAAAATATTACAAATAAAAAATTAATATAGTAATATATTTCATTTTTTAATTATTAAAAACATATTAAAATATTTATTAATTATTAAATTAAAATTATCTAAAAATAGAATAGAGCTAAAATATATATTTCTAAATTCTTTCAATAAAATAATTACTTACGCTTAGTCCCCCGTAAAAGAGAAATTAAATATACATTAACTAATCAAATAAGGAGGAGAAGAAATACAAATATATACTAATTACTAAAATAATAAAAAAAGTGTAAATATAGATTTTGTTATTAAGTTTTTATGATTAGGTGACTATTTGTAATTGAATAACAATAGGCCACACTTATATCGTGTGGCTTAAAATAGCTATAACTAAATATTACTGTCTATACATAATAGACTGCGGTTAATTTAGGCCAACGCTTCCTAAACCGTAACTTAAAGTGAATAAGTTACGGATTTTTTCAAAAATTTAAAAATTTGTCAACACGTAAAAACCGCACTCTATTTGTTTTTTGGCTACGGTTTTTAAGCGGTTGCCTATTCTTCCATTGCCTAAAGTCAAAATGGTGTAGTGAGAGGTGTAACAAAATGCTCAGTAAAAAGAGTTGAAATGTATGTGGACAAGAGTTGAACATTTATAAGTGAGAGAACACATACACTCCGCTAATATATAGTATCTCTCTCACATGTGTTATTCTAGACCTAATGTTCAATACTTCCAATACTCGCTAGTGATAGAATAACACCAATATGTAGAGAAAGTTGTTGATAAACATGTCGAGATCCTAATGTAGTTGCTATTTGGAAAAAACTCGCATTCATTGTTCCATCATTGCTTTTCAAAAATTGATTTCAAAAGAATATTTAAAAATTTAAATACTAAAATTAAATTAAATAGGCCTTTATATTAGTTGAATTCACATGTCACCTCTCATCAGAAGCAATTATATTTTAGTAGTTAGACATTAAATCTGATCATCTGAATCTACCGTTGCAATTCTAACTTTGTAACACCTTTTGCTAAATCCAACATTACAAAATTAAATCTACATGCAATAAATCGTGATTATAGTCACGGTTCTTAGTATTCATAAAAATGTGAACAGTCACAATTTTGGACCAGAATTTCAAACATCAAATTATAAAATCTTAAAACTAAAGAGTCAAGACCAAAAAATAAATATATTTTTTAAACTACAATTATCGGACAACAATAATTTGAATCATATCTATTCCTTGATCTACATTCACCTCGACAGATCCAACCTCCGGTGACCGGCAAGGCATCACCGGGGAAGGTGTGGCATCGGCGCGACAAACAGGACAATTAGGATGTGAATGGAGCCACATATCTATGCACGGTACATGAAAAGAGTGCATACAAGAAGGCATAGTCCTCAACTCTTCACCTTCTTCAAAATCTCCCAAGCATACAGCACAAGTCACACATTCATCTTCATTGTTTTTCTTCTCATATTTGTGAGATGGAATTTGATGCGGCACGAAACCTCCTTCTTCGGTGGCGCTCGGCGTTTGTGTCGTCAGTTGCCCGTGCCGCCTTGCTTGATGAGATGAGTTTTGGCAGCAAATGACTATGAGATGGTACATTGTTACTACAAAACTAGCTGAGCCCATGGCGATTAGTATCACCCCAAATTTGCTACTGAACAAAGTAAAGGGTTGATCATCACCATTATCGCCCATAAATTTGTTAAAAGAGAGAGAAATGTTTTGCAATGTTTTTGTATCAATCACAGCCGGCCAAGGAGTGGCTTAGCTGCATTTATAGTTCATATCAATCATTCTTTTCATACTTAATTATGATGACGGTGAAATTGATGTGATAATAAGGCTATTTAATTTTTTTATTTAATTTTGATAGATAACAATATGTTACTACCGATTAGTAGTAATAAAATAACAGTGCCTTCTTCCTTTTTTTTTTCTTCTTCTTTTCATTATTAACTAAATATTGAGTAAAAAAACTATATTATATAAATGTATTTGGCGTCTAATAATATAATATTTATAAATATTATTTTAATTGTATAAATATAATAGAAGGGTAAAATATAATTTAGAATTTATATTATTAGTTATTAGTATTATTATTGAATTATTGTTGTAATTGAGTTCTTAGACCACTTTCAAGGGTGGTTTTTCAAATTAGTTTGCCAGCTTGACATTGAAATTGTCAACAAAAAGTTGTTCCAGCTGGTGAACGTTGCAAACATAAGTAATGATTCTTTATTTTTTTTTATTATTAAAATAATCATTTAGCCGTTGTGCAACGGCTTTATTTTTTTATTTTTTAACTTTTTTTATTTATTATAAATATAAGTTTGTTGGAAAAATTGTATACCAATCCTATTTTCTCTCACTTTTATTTACTTTCCAACGGTGGTTTTTCAAATTGGTTTGCCAGCTTGACATTGAAATTGTCAACAAAAAGTTGTTCCAGCTGGTGAACGTTGCAAACATAAGCAATGGTTCTTCATTTTTTTATTATTAAAATAATCATTTAGCCGTTGTGCAACGGCTTTATTTTTTTATTTTTTAACTTTTTTTATTTATTATAAATATAGGTTTGTTGGAAAAATTGTATACCAATCCTATTTTCTTTCACTTTTATTTACTCTTTAATTTCAAATTTCTCTCTCCTATTTTCTCTCACTTTTATTGTTTTTAATCATGTGACATGTATTTAAATTTAATTTTAATTATTATTTTCAATTTTATGTTTAATTTGTATTTATATTAATTAAAATTTAAATAAAATAGTGGGATCCAATATGAGTTCTTTGAAGTTGCACCATTGGAGTGAAAATTGAATGAGTTGCTCTAAAATCAATTTAGTTTTATCAATCTGAGATTTAGAGTTTTTTTCTTAGTTTTAATGCTTTCTTCGTAGTTTTGTTAGGTTTATGGTTTTTACTTCCTAACAATGGGTGCTTTCATCTTGAACTTCAATCATTTCTTCCATGGCATATCCATATTATTATTCCTACACTCCATATATTTCATATCAACAACAAAAACACATAATTTCTTCTTCACCTCAACAATCATCTTTCACCTTCCATGAACATTCAAATTACCATAGCTACCAACCTCAATCTCAAAATTTCTATTCACAACTAGAAACTCTAAAACAATATTTGATTGAAACTCAGAAAATTGAAAATGAATATAGAGAAGAGTTGAAGGAGCTGATTCAAAATTTTGATTACTCTCTAAAAACATCACAACTTTCTTATAGAAAAAAAATCATCAGATCTGTATGAAAGACAACCAAACATGTATGAGCTTCAACCCCCATTGTTCATGGAGGAGTCAGATCTGGTCATAAAACAAACAGATCCCATATATTCTTCACACTCTGCTTTCAAAAAGCTTGTTTTAGCACCCACTGCATTATTAGCAAAGAAGAAGTATGTGAAAAGCTTCTCGACATATCCACCACCGACAACGGTCTCTAATAAACCTCCAGTAATGTGGTTACTCTTGAAACCACCGGACATAGCTTCTTCTCATTCACTGCCGCTGAAACCACCAAATGTATCACCAAAACCACCAAATTTGTCACCGGAGCGACCACAAATGTTGCCGGACTCACTAGAACGACCACCTGAACTGCGAGATCTGAAATCGCTAACCATTAAGAAATTTTCCTTCCTTGAAATTTTGGTTGGCAAATCCACTCCTATGATTATGATTAAAGTTAACCAAAGGGCTTTGAATCCTTCACAAATTCCAAAGCACAAACAAAACCATTTTCCTTCTTTTTCACCTCAGGACGAAATCATACATTTGGCATCTATAACCCCTTCCATTTCCGAAGCTCGTTCTAATAGTGGATTTTTTCATGACGACGTCGATCTCAAAATTCCACCAAAACCTCCTGATTCTATTTCAAATATAAAAAGAATATGTACACGGGAAACGTTCACGAAAATATGCGGATTCACCATTTCTTCCCGCCACCGAAATCTTCATTCTCAGACACAACGAGGATTCCGACAAGAGAAGATTTTTCCTTTATAGAAATAGAATACAGGTTTCAAATATCTGGTCCAAACAAGCTTGAAGAGAGAAAAAATAGCAAATTTCTCAAGATTCGTGGATGTATGTGGAATCTGTTATCATGTGTGATGGAAGCTGAAATTATATTGGAAATTGCTCTTGCAAATGGTGGAGTGCAAACTCCAAATTGGCAACTTTTTAAGGGAATTGTGTACTTTCTATTTATCAATTATATTATCACTTTCATTCAAGAAAAAAATGTTGGAAAGGTTGATGTTGCTTTTATGGTGGGCTTTGCTCCTAAAACAAAGGGTTTTAGAGATGGTAAATGGAGTGAGCAAAAAGCTGCAATTCTAGTTCTTAAAAATCTGACAGTTGACCTTGTTGTCGAGATAGTTAGAATAAAGGGTATTGATCTATGGAAAGAAATGCTTCCATCTTTGGTTACTCCATCCAACAAGGGTCCAATACAAGCTAAGCTGGTTTCAATGATGCTACAGTGGCTTCCTTGGGACATTACAGTTCACAATGAAGAATCAGAAAGGAACCAACGGTGGCTACTTTTGTGCGGGCTAATTCAATCATTGTCTGAAATTTTTCCACTATTATACACTTTTCTAGAAAGACATTTTGTAACTGCACTAAATGAAGTAAGTAGCAGACATACCGACATTGCCAAACTGCATGTTGCTATAGAAATAACTACTTTAAATACAATAATTGTATATACTGAGTGGGCTCCATTGACTGATCTTGCTAAGTCTGGTATCATTATTGGTTGTGGTTTCCTACTATTTGCTTCAGACTTAAGTCTTCATGCTTCTGACTTTTTCAAACTTGTTTCTTCGAGGAAAAGATTTGTTGATGCATCTGCTTCTGATATTGACCAAGTTATGAGGGACATCTTTCAATTATTGATGGAAACACTCTTTAATGTGGAAACATACAGAGCTGCCATGATGCAGTTTGAGAAAAAAATGTTTGAAATGCCTCTTGGGAAACTTATGGCTGCAAAACTTCCTACAAAACTAATTCAAGTGCCTTTCAAAAGATCTAGTGGTGTTTATTCAATTAACTTCATCACAAGTGTCAAGGCTTTCTATCATAGGAACATTCATCCTGTAACGACTTATTTGCTAGAGTTATCGACTCAGATACTAGGGTATGGATGGGCTGCAATTTTCCTAAGTTTCCTTGTTAATTCACATTACATGTAGTGGCCAGAAAACCTTGTGCAAGTGTCTCTATTTAGAGCATTTCATGAAAGCGAACAACTTGGGTTGGTCAGGAAAGGCCTCGGTATCAGTTCGTTTGGTCTCGTTTTGAACACTGTTGCTAGCTTCTCAGGAAGTCCTTTAATTGTGTTTGGCTTTAATATCATCAACGTAATGGCTGGATTTTCATTTTATAGTCAACGAGCTGTTAAAACTGGATTATGGTGTAACTTCCTTGTTTTTTCACTTAAATCTGGAGTATGGTTAGCTTCCTCTACTCGTGTTCTGTTAGCTGAAGTTGTGCATTCCGTTGCCGATTTTTCAAATCAGACGCTGCTTGCTTATGGTCTATCTAGCTCTAGATTGGCACCAGATGTTATGCATCCTTATGGTTATCCCAAAGAAAGATTTGCTTGGACATTGATATATGTTGTTGGTATATTTTGTTTTGGTTCTAGAGCTACGGTTGTTCATGGAGTTCAAAACTTGTGGGTTGCACTGATTCATTTGTCATTGAAGGAGATTTTATGGTGAAAAAAAAAATCTTGGAAGAACTGGACTGATGTTTTGAAGCTCTTACATTTACTATGTGTTTTGGTATTATTTTAGAACCTTGAGGACAAGGTTCAAGTGAACTCGACGGCAATGATAGAAGGGTAAAATATAATTTAGAATTTATATTATTAGCTATTAGTATTGTTATTGCACTATTGTTGTAATCGGGCTCTTAACTCATTATCCATTATGAGCATTGTATATGTATTGTCTTTGACATATTTTAAGGTATCAAATGAAAAATTAAATTTACTTTTATCAATTTAGTTTTATCATTCTGAGTTTTAAAGTTTTTTCTTAGTTTTAATGCTTTCTTCGTAGCTTTGTTAGGTTTATGATTTTTACTTCCTAACAAAATAATATTAATAATATAAATGGATACATCTATTTTATATTGATGTGTTTAAGACAGTAAAATAATAATTTATTATAACATTAAAACTATAATTTATTATGACATTAAAAGAATAAAACAATAAAATAATAGTTTATTATGACATTAAAACAATAATTTATTATAACATTAAAACAATAAATTACTTTGACAATAAAACAATTTTAAAACAATTTTAAAACAATAATGCTATTAAATTATAATTTAAAATAATTAATCACTCATCAAATCAAAATGATTAATCACTATTTAAATATATTTAATATTACTATTTAATGATATTAAAATTAATTTATCAATTATAAAATCAAAATAATTAATCCCTCACACCCTATAGGATAACTTTCTGAGTTATGTGAATAATTCATAATTATAGTCTATTATTCTACAACCTCCAATATATTATGATATTGATGACTTGTGCAAAATCTCAGCTTCAAAACACATGTTGAATCCATTTTCTATTAAAAATATTTCATTTTAAAATAAGTTTTAATTACATAATTATACATAAGAAT